TTTTGACCTCCAAGGGCATTGCATGACACAGGTGCACTTACCTACATGCAGGCAATACACACACATAAAATAAAAAATAAATTTAAAATTTAGAAAGAAAAAAAAACACCCTAAGATTTCACCTTACCCTAGTCAAACTGGCTAAGGTCAAAAGAACAAATGATACCAAATGCTGGCGAGGTTGTGGAGAAAGGGGAACGCTCATTCACTACTGAAGAGACTGCAAACTCATGCAACCCCTATGGAAAGCAGCGTGGAGAACTCTTAAAAAACAAAAATGAGCCAGGCATGGTGGCGCACACTTTAGTCCCAGCACTTGGCAGGCAGAGGCAGGTGGATCTCTGTGAGTTCAAGGCCAGCCTGGTCTCCATAGTGAATCCAGGCCAGCTGTGAGTACAGGGAGACCCTATCTCAGAAAGACCAAAGGGCGGGGGTGGGGGGAATTAACTGAAGCCAGGCATGATGGTACATGGACTAACCCAACACTCTGGAGGCAGAGGGAGGCAATCTCTGTGAGTTCAAGGCCAGCCTCATCTACATAGTGAGTTCAGGGCAGCTAGGGCTATAGGGAGACCCTGCCTCAAAAAGACAAAAAAAAAAAAGAGAATATTTAACTGGGAGTGGGAGAGATGGCTCAGTTGTTAAAAGCACTGGCTGTTCTTGCAGAGAACCTGGATTCAATTCCCAGCCCCCAAATGGCTGCTAAGAACCATCTTTATTCCAGTTCTGGGGCATCCCACACCCTCTTCTGAACTCCCTGGGCATTGCAGGACACGGGTGTACTTACACACATGTAGGCAATACACCCATACATATAAAATAAAAAGAAAATAGTTTTTAAAAAACAGAGTATTTAACTACAGGGCTGGAGAGATGGCTCAGTGTCTGAGAGCACTTGCTGCTCTTTCAGAGGAGCAGAGTTCAGTTTTCAGCACCCCATGTGCATGGCTCACAACCACCTATTGACTACAGGGAATCTGACACCCTCTTCTGGTCTCCAAACAAACACACACACACTTTTTTAAAAGAAACTTTGAATTAAAAAATTTAACAGCAACATATATATCCTTATATAAGGATATATATTAGATCCTTATATCATTTTTTTATATATATATGAATGAGCAAAGGGGCATCTGGCATTAGGAGACAACATCAAGATGCAGCTGCACAGTCCTTGGTTGCTCTTATTCCTTCTCTGCTCAGTCTGTTTAGCCCCCTCTTTCCTTTTGAAATGCAGTATTCTTACTGTGTTGCCCAGCTGGCCTTGACTCCGAGATCCTTCTGGGTAGCTGTGTGAGTAGCAGAGGAGCCACCACATCCAACTCCAAATTAATTAATTAATTAATTTTTGGTCTTTTTGAGACCCTGTAGCTCCAACTGCCTGGAACTCTGTAGACCAGGCTGGCCTCAAACTCACAGGGGATCCACTTGCCTCTGCCTCCCGAGTGCTGGGATTAAAGGTGTGCACCACCTCGCTCAGCATCCAACTCCAAATTTAATTTTCTTCTCCTAGTTTTATCGAGGGCCTGGCCCCTAAATGCTATTATTTGAAGGGTATCTTTGAAATGTGAATTGTCCTTCCTTTTATCTTTTTGTTCTCTCTCTCTCTCTCTCTCTCTCTCTCTCTCTCTCTCTCATTTTTGAGACAGGATCTCACTATGCAACAGCCCTGGCTAGCCTGGATCTCACTACATAGACTAGGGTGGCCTCCAACTCACAGAGATCCACCTGCCTCTGTCTCCCAAACACTGAGATTAAAGGGGAGGTACCACAACTGGCTAAAAATATCTCGAGGGACTAACGAGGTACTTCTGATCACTGGATTTGGCATTGGACTAATTTTCCACCTACCCTATTGTCAGAAATGCTTTCTTACTATATAACTTAGGCAAATCAATTCTCCCTGACCCATCATGTAGCTCATCCGTAAAATGGGGCCGTGATCCTCCTTGTCCAGATCAAATGCGACCAAGTGTGTAATATACTTAGTATAGCTGGTGTGGAATAGGTACACTCCATGCCAGGCAACTCCTGCCTGTAATCTCAAGAGATCCGGAGGCATCGTTATAGGGCTACATAATGAGAACGTCTCAAAAAGGGGGGGGGGGGGCTGGAGGTTAAGGGGGAGGGCTTAATGGTTACAATACAATGGTTAAGAGCACTGGCTGTTCTTCCAGAAGACCCAGGTTCGAATCCCTGCACCCACATGGCAGCTAACAACTGCCCGTAACTCCAGTTCCAAGGGATCCAATGCCCTCTTCTGACCTCTGCAGGCTTTGCACAGCACGGGTGCACTTAAAAAGCATGCAGGCAAAACATGCATACACTTAAAAATAAATAGGGGCTGGAGAGATGGCTCAGCGGTTAAGAACACTGGTTGTTCTTGCAGAAGACCCGGGTTCGAATCCCAGCACTCACATGGCAGCTAAAAACTGTCCGTAACACCGGTTCCAGGGGATCCAACAGCCTCTTCTGACCTCCGGGGGCATTGTAGGACACGGGTGCCCTTACCTACATGCAGGCGATACACACATACACATAAAATAAAAATAATAAATTATCTTTTAAAAAAGCCTCAGAGAGAAACCACTACACAGCGAGTGGCTTGGTGGCCGAAGATTTGGGCATTGTGTATTGAGGCAGCAAGCTATCCCGGAGGAGGCAGATACCGGGAAGGCCACAGGCAGGAGAAAAGAGGAGGAAAAAAGAGCGAAGGCAGAGAGGAGGCAGCAGGGTCCGCCCTCCAGGCGGGGCGCCAGCGAGAGGCCCAGGCCGGGGCGGGAGTGCACGTGGCCTTTTTCGGGCGGAGCAGACGCGTTTGGGCGTAGAGACGGAGCAGCCACCGAGAAGGCCGCGAGGGTGGGTCCGGAGTCGGCCGCAAGGACCAGAACGCCGGGCGGGGCAGCCTCTGGAGCTCCAGAGTCTTGGGCTGGGACACCGCCGGGTCGCCTCTCCCCGGGAGGTTTGGGCCAGAAGCCGGCGTCCTCGGGCCGCCTCCCCAGGGGCGGGGCTAGACTTTCGAGCCAATGAGTGGCCGCCGCGCTGGCCACGCCCGCGCCCCGCCTCCGGAGCCGCCTCCGGAGCCGCGGCCTCGCAGAGCACCCAACCGCCCCTCGCCCAGGCCTGGGGCAGCGCGAGCGCCGAACCTCGGGCTGGTGAGTGGCACCCCACCCCAGGGCCTCCGCCCCATCCCGCCTCCAGCCACTGCCCCAGCGCTCCGGGTCCCCGACCCAGGCTCCGGGGAGTGACTCAGCGCGAGGAGG